CAGTTTGTCCTTCAGATGAAACACCTCTCACTTGTTGCCATCCGTCTCGGTGGTCCGGGGGAACTTCCTGACCTTGATGCTGGAGCAATACCTTTGACCGACCAGCTTTGTGCAAAGTTGGGGTGGCAATAATTAATGGATCTTGAGGCGGGAAGGCAGAGTGCCAGCAGCTGGGAAGGCAGAGTGCCAGACGTTGTCGCGTCACCCAGCTGTACCCTGCTTCGCCTGCACGTGATTCGCTTGACAGTGTGGTCAACGCAGAAAAGCGCAACATCCAGCAGTTCGTAGCCACTTCACGCGATTTGTGCATCCCTAATACTATCAAACCCTAAAACTATGGCACTCTGCCTTCTAGCCCCAAACCCTAAATACTAAAGACCCTGAAACTCTAACCCTAACCCTTTCATTACCCTCAAACCCTAACACTATGGCACTCTGCCTCCTAACCCCAAACCCTAAATATACTAAAGACCCTGAAACTCTAACCCTAACCCTTTCATTACCCTCAAACCCCTAATACTATGGCACTCTGCCTTCTAACCCCAAACCCTAAATATACTAAAGACCCTGAAACTCTAACCCTAACCCTTTCATTACCCTCAAACCCCTAAAACTATGGCACTCTGCCTTCTAACCCCAAACCCTAAATATACTAAAGACCCTGAAACTCTAACCCTAACCCTTTCATTACCCTCAAACCCTAACACTATGGCACTCTGCCTGCTAACCCCAAACCCTAAATACTAAAGACCCTGAAACTCTAACCCTAACCCTTTCATTACCCTCAAACCCCTAATACTATGGCACTCTGCCTTCTAACCCCAAACCCTAAATATACTAAAGACCCTGAAACTCTAACCCTAACCCTTTCATTACCCTCAAACCCCTAATACTATGGCACTCTGCCTTCTAACCCCAAACCCTAAATATACTAAAGACCCTGAAACTCTAACCCTAACCCTTTCATTACCCTCAAACCCCTAATACTATGGCACTCTGCCTTCTAACCCCAAACCCTAAATATAATAAAGACCCTGAAACTCTAACCCTAACCCTTTCATTACCCTCAAACCCCTAATACTATGGAACTCTGCCTTCTAACCCCAAACCCTAAATATAATAAAGACCCTGAAACTCTAACCCTAACCCTTTCATTACCCTCAAACCCCTAATACTATGGCACTCTGCCTTCTAACCCCAAACCCTAAATATAATAAAGACCCTGAAACTGCAAACCCTGTGCCAGGTCTTCTTCATCCTCGTCTTCTTGGAAAAAACCTTAAAAAATGTAGATTTTTTTTGTGTTTTAAAGTTTTTAAAAAAATTTAAAAGTTGTTTAAAGTCTTTAAAAGTCTTTCAAAGTCTTTTTAAAGTTTGTAAAAGCTTTTAAAAGCTTTTAAAAGTCTTTTAAAGTCTTTTTAAAGCTTTTAAATGTATTTTAATGTTTTTAAAAAGTCATTTAAAAATTTTAAAAGCCTTTTAAAGTTTTGAAAAGTCTTTTAAAGTTTGCAAAAGTCTTCTAAAAGTTTCTAAAAGTCTTTTAAAGTCTTCTAAAAGTTTTTAGAATGTTTTTTCTTGCATTTTAAAGTTTTTAAAAGTCTGTAAAAGTCTTTAAAAGCCAACTCTGTCGAACAAAGCCCTGTGGATCTAAACCTTGTGGTTCTGGTTCGGTGCAAAAGGGCAATGAATGTAGCACGTTCAGGCACGAGTCTTGCAAGGGAGAGATCCTTTTTCGATTCACATCTTACGCATTAACTCGTCTTCAGAGCTACGTAGTGATTACTGGGAAGTGTAAGAGAAAAGGGAGGGGGAGGAGAGCGGGAGCCTTTAGCACGCACAAATGCAACGCCAGCAAGTTGGAAACTGTTCTACCGTGCCCCCTCGAAGAGCATGAGATTTATGAGCATGTACTGTCTGGCAGGAATGACATGAGGCCACCAACTGTCTGCGCAACATCATCTAACCGCACAGCCTGACAGAAACTGACCGTCCTAGCCGTCCCTGGCGCCACACAAGCAGTCACAAGCATCCACACCTTGTGTTCATCTGCCCAAGATCACATCTGCCAACATCAAGCGTGGAAGAAAATGAAACCTCTGTGGGTTTGCTACTGCTCCCTGAATTCCTCCACAGTGTGCTGGTTCCCGATACAATTCTGAACGGCCTCTTGCTTCAGCAACGCCGTGTACCAGCCCACATGAATTCCGGCAAACTTGCGTACCACAAGGATGAGGCAATCATGAGGCAGCTGGCGGCAAATCTCGCTGCCAAGCAGGGCAGCACCATGGGTGCGCACGTCCTCTACGTGGGTGTTCTGAGCAATGGTCTCAAATACATTCTGGGCCTTTGTCGGAGTGTACACAACATAGGGCTGGTCAGCAGGTAGGCCCCAACACAAGAAGAAGCCGGAGTACCTCGTTGCACAGACCATTTGCATCTTAGACGTTCACAGTAAGCCACTGGCAGCACTGAAACACAGCATTTTTACGGTTTAGGGTTTAGGGTTTAGGGTTTTGTGCTGACGAAACACATCACAACCAGACTTCGCTGGCCTGGTGTGGGCATCTCTGTGACCATGGGGCATATGTTGGCCACACGCAACGCAAAGGAGGGCCTCTTGGAGATGGCGTGGGAACCGATCTCAAACGTGACGGTGTCGTATAGCCCTTCCCTTCCAAGGCATGCGCTTTGGATGGTGCCGGAACCAATCCCGACGCTCGCTGCCAGGATGAAGTCGGGCAAACGTGGTGCAAGTACATCCGTCAGCAGTTTCACTGCCATCAGATCAAACGCGGCTTCCAGTTCTGAGGTCAGCCATGAGAATCGGATTGTGCGGGAGGCCACGTTGACTTGGTCTGGGAGGGTTCCGAGAAGCAGTGCATTGTTCCAGTGGTCGCCTGCGTATCATGAAGACTGCAAAGCACAAACTGACTGACGTATGCTTGCCTTGGACACATAAAGCAAGCATACCTAGCTGCTGTCTGACAAAACGCATTCTAGCCTGCTTCTTGTGCTTGCCATGGATTGTTAATTACATTGTCTGTTGCTGTCTTCGTGCTGATCGGTACATCCATCAACTGCTGCTGATATTCCACAAAGGCTGTAATCAGTCATGCACTGCAGTCCCCGATAGTTTTTGCTTCGGGCGTATTGCGGCAGTACGCACAGCTCGCTCGCATTCTGTCCGGATTCCAGCGCGCACTTACCGAATGAAAAGTTTCATTGTTACCTGGGGGGCTTCTGCAGTCTGTGATTGCTCTTAAGACTGAGGTAACGACTTGCATGGGGAAGAAATGTAGCAGGTTTGCAACATCCCGAGATCCCACCATCTGCCAGCACGAGTTTGGGATCTTCGCAAGAGAATGTTGAGAGCAACGATTCGTGACAGGAACCGCTTCAGATTAAGTGTAGAAATATGCCAGAATCCATTCCCTTTCGCAGCAACAGCAGAACCCGCAAACGGGGAAATACTTGCATCTTGTTATAAATCAACCGTCCCCAATAAGCATGACAGACAGATACAAACGATTGCCGCTTTTGCTTGCAAACAAGTCAGTGCTTAGCTTTACGACTGGAGCTCTGCACCAAGGAGGACTAAGAGGACTACAGCCCTGCATGTTAGGCGTGACCAGCACCTCATGATCAGATGAACAAGTTTATCATGGCTCGATTTGCAGGGAGATGCAGGTGTCATGTCGCGCGGGCGCGCATCAGTGATTTCTACACTTTAGAAACTTTTGTGCCCTCCTAGGATGTCAGACATTTCGCAGAGCTCAGACAGTGTGAGAGTTACGAAAAGTGTTGTGGATTCTCCTGCGCCCTGAATCACAAGGGTGAGGGTTGTAACGGAAACCAATGGCGGTAGTAACGGAAACCGACCGGGGAACCTGCAACGGAAACCAGGGGCGGCCCGAAACGGAAACCAACGATTTCACGTGGAAGCCGCACGGTTGTAAGTAACTTAAACCAAAGGCACGCTGTAACGGAAACCAACGGATCCACGCGGAAACTAGGCAGGGTTGTAACGGAAACCACGGCCCACGCTGTAACGGAAACCAGCGCCGCACCCTGGAAACTGCCCTGGTTTCGGGTTTCCCAAACCGGGGGGCCACACCGTTTCAGATCCCCCCCGGTTTCGGGTTCCCCAAACCGGGGGCAGCAGCAGCAGCAGCAGCAGCAACGCAGCAGCAGTAGCAGTAGTAGTGGGGGAAGTAGTAGTGGTAGTAGTGGTAGCACTGGTGGTAGAAGTGGTAGTCGTAATGGTAGTAGTAGTAGTTGTTGTAGTAGTAGTAGTAGTAGTACTAGTACTAGTAGTAGCAGCATCAGTAATAGTAGGAGTAGTAGTAGCAATAGCAGTAGCAGCAGCAGCAGCAGTAGTCGTAGTAGTAGTAGTAGTAGCAGCAGTAGTAGAAGTAGCAGTAGAAGTAGCAGTAGCAATATTAGCAGTAGCGGTAGCAGTAGCAGTAGCAGTAGCAGTCGTAGTAGTAGTAGTAGTAGTAGTAGTAGCAGCAGCAGCAGTAGCAGTAGCTGTTGCAGTTGCAGTAGCTGTAGCAGTAGCAGTTGTAATAGTAGCAGTAGTAGTAGTAGTTGCAGTAGTAGTAGTAGCAACAGCCGTAATAGCAGTAGTAGTCATAATAGCAAATAAAGGGAGGAGTGGTCGGCTTCGGTTTCCCAAAGCAAGGGCAGCAGCAGTGGCAACAGCGGCTGCAGCAGCAGTAGCAGTAGTAGTAGGGGTACTAGTAGTGGTGGAAGAAGTGGAAGTAGTAGTAGCAGTAGTAGTAGTAGTAGTAGATGATAGAAGTAGCAGTGCTAGAGATCATCGAGAGGAAATCGGAAACTGGATCGGGTGCCCAGTTAAGTAACAACAAAAAACCCCAAGGCTTAAGCCCAAACACCCGGAGTCCTAACCCTAAGTCCTGAACGGCGCAAGTGCTAACCCCCAAAACCAAACCCTAAGCCGTTGTCGAACAAAAAACAATACCGAAGCCCTGAACCCCCTCCTCGCATCTGGAGGGCAGGGGCGGATGCAAGCCGCCGACTCCTTCTGCATAAGCAGTGTACTTCCCTTGGGGAGTTCAGGAGGTTCAAGGCTTCTGTGAGCTCAAAGATCTTTAATGTTCTGTCTCCGGCAGCTTAGTATCAGAGGGTTTCATCAGGATTTTGCAAGAGTTTGAAAGCTTCACTGGGTTCAGTTGCGGGTCCAGGGTTGAGGGTGCAGGGGGTATAGGTTAGCAGGGTGTCGTACTATTTTGGGGACCTACAAAGGGACCCTAATGTCGAGAACTGTTACTATTTTAGAATGTCGACTGTCGAGCTTAGAGTGCTTGCTTTCTGGTGTGGGGTCTGCCCTGATGACCCAGGAGTCGAGTCTACAGCGCAAAAAAAGGGGCCTTAATAATTAGAATTGGGTTCTGGGAATATTATACTATAATCAGAAGACGGAAACCCCACAGTAGTATTGGTAAGTATTTACTATAGTCACCTCTATAAATTTTGAGCTTTGCCGGGTATATGGCCTGGCTTTGGCATGCAGGAGGAGCGCTCAGGGCTTGTGCTTTTGAGGGCGGCGCCATGGCGGATTCGAAAGCTACCGGAAAAACACAACTGGTGATACTAATTGAGGAGAGTAGCTATATACCGTACACACTTTAAACTATACAGAGGATCCCTCTATGCTTGAAGGCCTATTCCTGAGCTCAGCATTTCGTTGAGTCTCTATTGTGTAGCAGTAAGAACCACCTCCCTAGTCGTAGAGTCTATCCTAAGCCCTAAATCCTAAACCTAAACCCAAAACCCGAACCCTACATCCTAAACCTAAACCACAACCCCAAACCCAAAATCCTAAATACGAAAAATCCTAAGCCCAAAACCCTAAATCTTAAAAACCCCAAACCCAAAACCCAAGCCGGTCCGGCTCAAGGCCCTCGACGATGCTCGTCTTGGCCCTGTCAGGAGCCAACCGGTGCTTCAGAAGGGGATCAGGGTTCCAAGTCGTTTAGACCAGAGTTTGGACACCTTCCTGTTTGGTTCCCGGACCTCGCCACGAACCTCCGCGAGATGCAGTGGAGGTGACAGCGTGATTATGCGTTTATGGTGGTCCTGTGACAACCCGCTGACGTGATGTGTATCAGTGTGGGGCGGGGTGTACGAATGCTAGAATTGGTGATCTGTTGTCGGTGCGGCAGTGGCATACCCCGAATACTTACTGGTCTGATGAGTTGTAATGCTCGCTTGTCCCCATGAGAAACCGTACGGTTGTTTCGTCAGCATGTTTCTCACCGAGCGGCTTTTCCTGTCTGTCCTCCTCCTCCTCCCTCCCGTTGTCACTCTGGTGCGTCTTCTTGCTCGTCCTCTTACTTTGGATTTCCCCTACGTCCATGCCGCCTGCTGAGCCCACTTTGTCTTTCAGGGTAATTCTGCTTCACAGTTGACATAGGGTTTTCCGAGCTTTGATAGGTTCCAATTCGGACTGTAGCAGTCTTTAAAAGGGCGATGTAGCTAACGGCTGAGGGTTCAGAAGAAGGTTGTCTTTCCAGAAAGGGGTTGATGCAAGGTCTGGGGTCTTCAAGCATGTCACGGTGTCTTCTAGGGGGTATATAGAAGTGTAGGTTATGCAAGGCTTACTTCGGATCGTTGTAGAGCTCTTTCTAGGGCTGATATCAGAACAGCAGCTCTGGGTGCTAGGGGTGCTTCCAGACAGTTTTTGAGTAAAATGCCTTAAGGTTCAGTTGCTATCTTCCGGGAACAATGTTTGAACTTGAACCGTTGTTCAACAAACCGCGCATGAAGCCTCAGAACACTCACGGCCCCGGGATGTTGAGCTCCTATTGCTCCCAACACGATACGCAGGCTGCCTAGCCGCACAAAATCCTGGGTTGCTGCCAAGGGCGCGCAGGCAGCCTGGAGCTCCGAGATCTCCTCGGTTTCAAGCAAATCTTACTGTTGAAATTGATCAAAGCTTTAGGGTTTACAGGATTTCGGGTTTATGGCTCCGGAAATATTAGTTGGAGGATGAAGGCAAAGGGCTTAGGGAATCTTGCCGTCCTCATTCCTCTCCGTGTACCCTTGAGATCCCATATCGAATCACTGGCATTCCGCATGCAAGTTGTCTTGATTACGGTTTTCACAACTTGCTGGCGTAGAAAAGCCATACCTTGGAGCAGGAGGCGATCAGGACTCCAGCCCTAGTCAAGCCCAACATACGTAATATCAACGATAGCAGTAAGAATACCTGGACTATCAATCACGGTATCGTTGGTCCTCCACACGTGGCAGCAGGCACAGCGCAAAGGCCATAGCAAAAGAGTAGCCGTGCCATGGCTTCCGCTGGACGTCGGCAGCGTGGCATTATGGTTCGAGGGGATTCAAGCTTGAGGGCTTTGGGGGCAGAGGTTGAGGGGTTTAGGCTGTAGGGCCGTCAGGCCTTTGGGCTTGTTGGGGTTTATCGCTAAGGCTTGTCGGGAGTAGAGTGTCTGCCTTTGAGCCAGGGGTTTCAGTGAGTTCTTGCAATCGGATCACTTTCGAAGCTCTTCCGCTTGGAGTTCATAGGACAGTCCTGCTTTCCCTTGCCTTGGGCCTCCTTGCAGCGTCATGTTGAGAGTTTCAGTCTGGTTGATGGATTGAGTCTTGCTAAACTTGCCTGAATCCGAAGCCTTCGATTGCAAATGCCACATAATGACTAAATTACAAGCAAACATGGAACCCTGCGTGTCTGCGCCCATGAACCTCCTAAACGAGGGAGCACGAGGTCGCATCACCTGCGAGCCGGGCAGATTGTCTTGCCCAGGCCACATGCATGGTCAAACGGACCGGGAGCACCACGAGCAATTCTGCTAACGTGGCTTTCACATGCAAGGGCGCGCGGCCATGGTCAGGTGTCGGTGAGGCTCGACAAACTGGCAGCCCAGACAGGTCAGGAAAAAAAGGAGGCTGCGGATCACATGAGCTCCTCGTCGCAGTCCTGGTAGGTTTACGGGTGCCCACAAGGTGCAGCAACAGGCGTAGCCCAGCGTCCAAAGTTTCGATGTTATAATAAGGTTTCCGCCGTGCCATGTGAAGGGAACCGATGACAGAGGATTGCAATGCCGAGTACAAGATGAACACCGGGCTTGTGTGGTCAAAGTGTTAAACTTCGGGCCGCGGGCTTTTCTCAATGTGAAAGCTTTATGAGCTCGACTTCGTGAAACGTGGAAACTTTGGCCCCAATCCGGAGATCACATCCCATGTCTCTCTAGGCTGCTTACTTCTTTATGGAGGGGCTGACGACAAATTGCGCCATCTGTAATACTGCGGCTGATGGCCAAAATCCTGCATTACCCATAACACGGAATATACCATAATCCCCATAGTTTAGGGTACTTAAGGTAATGCAGGATTTTGACCATCAGCAGTGTTATACTGTTGCTAGTTCTAAAGCTAAGGTTTCTACCAGCTCTGTTGCTTGGGCATCGCAAAGCGCCTCATCCCCGCCGTTCCGTGGGCTATCGACAGCCTGTGCAGCATACATACGTGCAAACATGCAGATACATACGTACATCTTGCCTCGGTTCCCGACATGGAATTTCAGACACGTGGACAGTAACAGGGAAGTCTGGCTCCATTAATTCGTTAGAGGGACGGCGCCTGGGGCACGGCGACAATGCAGGCAGCCAAGAGGGTTCAAATGTAGCACACTATTGGTACAAACACCAAAATATTCCAGTCTAGTATGGTCTTTACGGGTTCATCACATGGTTGTACTACCACATGGACCTTCTGAATGTTTCGGGACTTCAGCTCAGGCATTCGAACCTGTACGAGGTTGGCTGCTATTGAGAGTTGAGTGCACATGTTTCCGTGTGTCAAAAGCACAAGCCCTTAAAGTCTCCTGAAGGTGGCTTGTGGTTTGTAGGGCTTCTTGGGGTTTTAGGGCTTTTAGGGTTTAGGGTTTAGGGATCTGAAGGCGTGGGTCCCCACCGCCCACCACAACCCTGAGGCTAAGACATACCAGCCCATCAGGAAGGCACGGAAGCCCAGAACTCGGGGGATTCAGACGGGGCTTTGAAGATTCTTGGGTTAGGGCTTAAGGTTTACGGTTTATGAACCCTATTATGGGAACCTGATCCCTACGAAACCCCCATAGGCTAAAACCCCTCTTGGCCTCCAATGTTTTTGGCTAGGGCGGCTAGGGGCGCACAGAGGGGCCTGGAATTGCTGGACAGACTCGGGCTAAGGAGCTTGTGTCGCACTCCCGTCTGATTCAAGCCGTGCCGCGGGGATCAGCTCCTCGTCGCTATCGGAGTCCTGATGAAATTTTTCTCTAAACTACCGTTCTCGGCAGGCCTGACAGTCGGGCAGTTGGGGCTTAGGGTTTAGGATTCCTGGTGTAAGGTTCCGAGACACACCAATATGAAGTTGAAACTGGTGATTTGTCCCATTGCGGAGCATGCTCCATAAAGACAAAAGCGCAAGTGCTACGACCCTGAGCAGGTTGGTTTTGAAGGGGCAGACCGTTGTAATAGCCGCAGCCCTTTTAGTCGGACCCTTGTCGTAGCCCGGCGTGCGAACTCCTAAACTCCAAAGTTGAACATTTAACCAACAGCCGAGGAGCTTCAAACACATAGGGCAGCGTGTCGGCTCCTGTCATCATACTTGTGTCGGTTTCGGGAATCGGACCAAGTAAATAGGAAATATGATTAATGATGCGCTGGTGAAGTTGCCCCTTTACTACGGAATCCACTTTTCATGGTCTATAGTTAGAAGGTTTCTATCCTGAAGCTCAGTCTAGTATCTCCTTATCGTGTATCTTAAGGAGGGATTTCGACCAAGTTGTACCCTTCGTCTCCAAGATCTCTCAAGATACGTGGCTGCCGGGATAGACTTGTCAAGCCGAAGCACACATGCTGATGTACCGATGCTGTCTGAGCTGTAATTAGAGCCATGGCTCCTGGCAGGATTTCACGCGAAATTTTGGAGCTCGTTCTGAGACTGCAAACCCACCCTACTGTAGAGTAGCTCTAGTCTTTGACTGTGTGTTCTCATGGTCAGGAACGAAACTGAGTTGGGGAAAGCAATCAAAAGAGGGGATGCCTCCCCGTTTTGGGGTTGTTCAAAGATGCGGAAATCCAGCTTGAACGCGACACGGCAGCAGCTGCATTTGCACAGATACTCACCAGCCACGAGCTCACAGCTGAGGCCGTGGCGCTGCGTTGGTTTCGGAGCTTTCCTGAGAATCCAGGCTCCGGCGGCATCCTTCGTGGAAGCAGGTTTTGAAGGGTTCTTTGAAGGTTCTATATAAGTTAATAAAAGGGTTGCGAAACGCCATTCTAAGGGCTACTATAGTTGTGGAAGTTATTGCGAGGGTTGCTAACAGATTCGGGGAAGAAGTCGTTGTAGCATTCTTTGCAAGCGAGCTGAAACTTTGAAACACGGGACCTGCTTCAAAATGCAGCTCTGGGTTAATTTATATATTGTAGTGCTCAGGGCTTGCCGGACACAGAGTTGGCCTCTCTAAGCCCCCAAACCCCTTTACCGGGCTCTTGTTAAGGAGTCTGATTTAAGTTACCGTAATAAGTATCTTTAGTAAATAGCAGGGCTTCTATATTATGGTAACTTGAATCAAATTGGGTATCGGTGCAATTTACGTAACGGCCTGAGGCATACAGACTAGAGCCAAAACGAAGACATAGAAGTTTAATGCTCTGTTGATCTTCTAACTACCTCCGGGGGTTCGCTGATTTGCTTCGCCGACATTGAACAAGATGCTCTCATCTCAACAAACTAGGAACCGGATTTGGGACGGTGAGTTCGGTTCTATTGTTCTATGTTGTTGGTACCAAGGGAATTCTATTCCTACTGCTCCATCACCCTCGTTTGCCTCGCCATCCATTGGCCAGTGCATCCATGCCTAAGCCATGATAATGTCCATGATGCCAGCCCACCCATTGGCCAGCGCATCGATGCTCAAACCAGTCTTCCCCTCTGCACTGCCCCTTCTAAATCAACAAGTCCGCCTAACACCATAACGGGGACGCCATGTTGAACGATGCTAACATATGCATGTACAATTAGCAACATCGGCCACGCAGAAACATCGAGCTTTGTTTACGATTTTTGCTCCGCCGAATTTCGGGAACGAAAGTTGAAGAGTGCTAACATACGAAAGTATCGGCCTTGCCATGACTTTCGCCTCGCACTGTGTTCCAAAACAAACTGGGGCAAACGACGGCGATGGACCCTACTGGGACCCTACTTACTGCGACCACTGCCAAAGCTCGTATTAAATTTGCGGCCGGAGGTGCAAGAGGCTCCAGGCTGCAGAGTCTATCCAGTCTTTCAGGTAAAGCCTCCGGCCTGCACGCCTCAACTAAGCTGCCGAGTTCACAAGACGAACGGCTTAAACGAAGCCTCTATGCCTTAGACCGACAGGTTGACATGCCCAAACTTTAAACCCAAAACACACTAGACCAGAACACACCACCTCCCACCCCCACTTTCCCCGAGATCTCACAACACCTGAATACTGAAGGCTCAACTTCCATACTTCTTCAAAAACTCGGCCTCGCAAGCACTGGCCAAGGCATTCGCCACGGGCTTCACAATACAAGGATTGGCCTTCTCATGCTCCAAAAAAGGACTTTGGGCTCAAGACTTGGGGCAGGCAGGGGCTACTCCGGAGAGTTCAGTGTAAACTCACGAACGGACGAAGACTTGTTGCTGTCGTCTACAGCTAGATGCAGTTAGATGCTACAGAGTTAAACCAGCATTGCCCGTAAGTTTTGCTTGGTCCTGTCAAACAAACATCAGATCTGGATCCAGATCGAGCTGCACCCTAAGCCCCGAGACGACCCCAAGAGGCACAAGCGCCAATGCCAGAGCAAGAAAGGCAGCAGCACCACCCCAATCCTCGTTATCAAAGTTATCACGAGCTAGCAGCAGCAATGGTAGCAAAGGCAGTAGGGCGGTAGTAGTACCGGCGACAGTCGGTCAGGGTATCAGTGCTCGTATGGTGATTTTCGGTGCTATCGGGCGTGGTCAAGTAGTACGAGTAGCAGTGGCGGTGGCAGCTCATCGCTGGTGTGACTAAGTGGCGCTGGTTGTGGTGCTGGTGGTGGTGGCAGTCGCGGTGACGCTGTCGCGGTGGCGGTAATCTGTGGGAGAAGCTGCAGCCCTAACTCCACTCAAGGCCGCAGACGATCAAACCTAGGCTTACGGAGTTTTCTGTAAAGGGATTCTGGCGTTTGGGATAGTGCCTTGGCTCCGAGTCTCGCAGGCGTGCGGGTGTGTCACGTACTTAGGGTAAAAGGGGATTTGACTCAAGTTACCATGATAAAATAAAGC